CCAGGCCTACGCAGCCTTCCTGCACTCCGGAGAGGGCACTGGCTTCTGCGGCCAGGTGAGGTGGAATCTGGGGGTAAGCTTGGCACTGGGGTCCAGCTATGACCCTGCATGGAAGGTTTGGGGGTGTCACCCTCCTTGTGAATCTGTGGTCTCTGCAGGTGGTGCTGCTGGGGGACTGCGTGGGCGGCATCCTGGGATTCGATGCCCTGTGTCAGAGCCGGGTGGGCTCAGGGGGCAGCCGGAGCAGCAGCCGCCGTGGCAGCCTGGTGGGTGCTTTCATCCTAACACCCCTTGTGAAGGGTTTGGGGGTGCACTGGAGGCTCCATGGGGTCTGGGTGTTTGCTGCCTCTTCCTGCAGAGCATGGAGCCCATCTCTCCGGAGCAGTGTGGTGGCCTGGACCCGCTGGCTGATGGGACAGAGGGGGTGTCGGTGTTGGGCCAGGCCAGCCCTGAGCCGTCAGGGACACAGGGGGACAGCCAACAGCACAGCTCCACGTGCAGGTGAGCCCAAGGGGCTATCTTGTGCTTTATGGAAAGAGTGCAATTCCCATCTGCTCCAGGCTGGGAAGGAGCATTTCATGGAGGCTAGCATGAAATGTAGCCTCGGGGAGGATCTTGCTGGAACCCCTCTGGGATAACGGGGCCACACCAGGCACAGCTTTGCCTTCAGGATGGTGGGAATGCAATGTTGCCATCCCTCCCAGTGCCCACTGTCTCTGCTGTCCCAGCCTGCAGGCCAGCGAGGCTCCACTGGAGGCAGAGGCGCCCCGGAGCAGCGCTGTGGCGCTGGATGGGGCGGAGGGTGCCAGCACCCGCCTCGAATTTAAGGTATCCGGCTTCTTCCTCTTCGGTTCCCCACTGGGGCTGGTGCTCGCACTGCGCAAGACCGTCATGCCTGCTCTGGATGGTGAGGATGCCCACCTGGCACAGTGCCAGCCCCTGACCCTCCCTGCAGGGCTCAAGTCCCTGAGTTGTGCCCACCCGACAAGCCTGAGCTCCTCAGGACCACCCCAGAGAGCCCTGCTTGGGTTTGAGCCCCTCACATGCTCAGCTCTGGCTGTGTGGGAGTTGGTGGGTGGCTGAGTATCCCTGCTCTGTGCCAGCCTCAGCCCATTTCTGGTGCCCCAGATTGCCCTCTCTAGCCTTTCCTGTTGCTGTGTCCTGCTTTACTCCTCCCGGGTGTTTTGCTCCTGGTGCCCCCCAGCCCTCATGAGTGCCCCTGACCCTGCTCTGTGCTGCAGTGGCCCAGCTGCGTCCTGCCTGCGAGCAGATCTACAACCTCTTCCACGCCGCCGATCCCTGCGCCTCCCGCCTGGAGCCTCTCCTGGCCAAGGCCTTCCATGCTGTGCCCCCGCTCAGCGTGCCCCGATACCAGAAGTATCCCCTGGGTGATGGCACCTCGTCCCTGTTGGGTGAGCAGGTTCCCAGCACGCTGGTGCCAGGCACCCTGGGGCCACATCAGGGTACCTGGAGAACCCACATGCTGGCTGGGTGAGGGTAGAGGGATGTGCAAGCCCTTCCCACTGCTCTGGGGCTCTACTGGAGGGGTGTCCTGGGGTGGTGGGTGTCCCCAGGGGCTCTGGGCGTGCTTACCCAGCTCTCTCTTCAGCGGAGGCCCTGCAGACACACTCTGCCCTGTTCCTGCCCAAAGTGGATGTGGCTGCTCCTCCTACCCCCACTGGCAGCTTTGGGGGCTTCTGGAAGGGCAGTGAACCAGCAGAGCCCCCCAGTCCTGCCAGCACCAGCGAGGTTGTCAAGAGTAAGTGTCATCCCCACCCACCCCATCCCATGTGGGCACCTCAGGCTGCACAACAGGGGATGAGGTCTGGGAAAGGCTTCATTCCTGCTCTCCCTGCAGTCCTGGAGCGCTGGTGGGGCCCAAAGCGCATCGACTACTCTCTGTACTGCCCCGATGCCCTGACTGCCTTCCCCACCATCACCCTGCCCCACCTCTTCCATGCCAGCTACTGGGAATCCTCCGACGTGGTGGCCTTCATCCTGCGCCAGGTATGGTGGGCACAGTGGGGTGGGTGGCAAGCCGGGGCTGGTGGAGGCTGAGCCAGCACTGTGCTGTCGGCAGGTGATGGAGAAAGAGGGGCCACAGCCTGCAGAGAGCGAGGAGAGCTCCATCTACAGCCCCGCCATCCCTCGGGAGAAGTGGCAGCGCAAGCGCACCCAAGTGAAGATCAGGGTATGTGGCCAGTGGGAGGCCTCCTGAGGTGTGTGGGTTCTGGGGCAATCCCACAGCCCAGTGGTGTCCCGGTGGCACCTCAGGAGCTCCCCCAGGAGCTTCTGAACACCCCGTGTGCCTGCAGAACGTGACGGCCAACCACCGCGCCTGCGATGTGATCGTGTGCGAGGGCAAAGCGCAGGTCCTCAGCGGGCGCTTCATGTACGGACCCCTGGATGTGGTGACGCTGACTGGGGAGAAGGTATTGCTGGGCTTGGGGCCACCAGGACCCCTCAAACAGGGTAGGGGTGTCCAGGACCAGGCATGGGGCTGGTGTCATCCACAGCAGGGGAAGGATGTGGTTAACAGGACCCTGTGTGGGATGGCAGGAGGAGGTTGTAAGGACTTGAAGGGACACAGCAGGATGTGGGGTCCAGCCCATGCTCAGCCCGTTTCCCTCTCTCAGGTGGACATCTACATCATGACGCAGCCGCTGTCAGGGAAGTGGCTGTACTACGGCACTGAGGTGACGAGTGGCAGCGGACGCCTGACCTTCACCATCCCTCCAGACAAGGCTCTGGCCATTGGGATCTACCCTGTGCGCATGGTGGTCAGGTGAGGTGTTGCTTCAGTTTCTCCTCCAGCCCTTTTGGCAGAGCTATACCCACTTCCCTGGCAGCATAGCTGGTGCTGAGCCACCACCTGTGCCTTTGCAGAGGGGACCACAGCTATGCTGAGGCCTACCTGACCGTGGTGGCCCGTGGCACCGAGTCCGTTGTGTTCAGCATCGATGGCTCCTTCACCGCAAGCGTCTCCATCATGGGCAGTGACCCCAAAGTGCGGGCAGGGGCTGTGGATGTTGTAAGGTGGGTGTCCTTCAATTAGAGAGTCAGTCTCCCCATCTTTCATGGTGTGACAACTCAGTTGGGGGATGTCAGGGCAGGGAGAAGGGGGAGGGCATTTCACCACTCGCTTGCCTCCAGCACATCGTCTCTATGCTGGTGCCCTGTTGTGGAAAATAATCCTCTTTGGAGTTTGGATGTGGTCCCTACAGCTCTGCTATGCCTTCTCCTTGAAAAAATCCCTGGGAGCAGGGAGGCTTTGGAGGCGGCACCCACACATGCTGTATTGGGAGATCCCAGCTTCCCACAGCAGGACTGTCTCCACGCAGGCTCCTGGCAGCCACCCATGTCCCCTCCTAGGCACTGGCAGGACTCGGGGTACATGATCATCTACGTGACAGGGCGCCCTGACATGCAGAAGCACCGCGTGGTGGCCTGGCTCTCCCAGCACAACTTCCCCCACGGTGCCGTCTCCTTCTGTGACGGGCTCACCCACGACCCGCTGCGCCAGAAAGCCGCCTTCCTGCAGAGCCTGCGCACAGAGGTGGGGATGGGGGTGCTGCTGGGACACAGGGTTGGTGATGGGGTGGTGTGGGCTGTGCTGAATCCCGTGCACTTCTGCATCGTGGCGGAGATGCTGGGAGCTGAACTGCACTGCCATGGCAGAGCTGGAAGCTTCTCAGGACAGCTCCCAGCCTCTTAACATGAGGATGTCCCAGCGCCTGGGGGTGGCTGTCCCTGTGGGAAGGGGTGTTCCCTGCCCTAATGCTCTTGTCCCTGGGCAGGCAGAGATCTCCATAGTTGCTGGCTACGGCTCCACCAAGGACGTCTCCGTCTACAGCTCACTGGGACTTACCCCAGCACACATCTACATAGTGGGACGGGCTGTCAAGAAGTTCCACAACCAGTGCCAGGTATGGTGGTGGCAGGGCTGGGGACAGCCTGGGGATGCAGGGGACAAGGGCTGACCCCACCAGCTGGCCGTGGCCACCGCCTGAGGCTGTCCGTGTGTCCTGCAGTTCCTCTCCGAGGGTTATGTTGCCCACCTGGCCCAGCTGGAAGCCGCAGCCCTGGCCAACTCCCCCAAGGGCCCCCCACGACCTGTGCTGGGCAAAGGCACCTATGGCTGCCCGGCGCCTGTCGACTTCCTGCGGAAGCAGAGCCAGCTGCTGCGCTCCCGTGGCTCCAGCCAGGCAGAGCGGGATGGGGGGCCCCCCTCAGCACCCCCTGGCTTGTCCCGGACCAAGCCCCGCAGTGTCAGCCTCAAGCTGGAGGGTGAGGAGTGAGGGTGGCACGGCCAAGTCCCCCCTCCACCACATCCCTGATTTCCCAGCAAGGAGCACCTGGGGACAGAGCCAGTGCTGGGCCATGAGGCCATAGGAAGAAGAGGCTGCTGTGTCCCCTGAGATTGGGGGGTGCTGGGAGATGGCTCAAAGCCCCCCAGAGGACCAGAGTGATCCCCTCAGGGCTGAGCCACCCTGGGTCCTCCCTGCTGCCCCCAGCCCTGTCCCCTCTGGTCCTTTGAGGCAGTTGGGCAGTGCCCAGTGGGGTCTGCACCCCAGGGTCATTATCCCTGTGCAGAACTGGGGGCTGTGGCTGTGCCCCAGTGCGAGTGGCACCTCCCCACCTATTTATTTCCGTCCGGTGTCACGGGGCAGGGCTGGGTTGGGGTTCCAGAGCGGTTCCTCTGTTCCCCCCCTTTCGTTTCGGTGTTGAATAAAGAGATGTTATGACAAGGCGCCAGCACCCATGGGTCTGCTCTTTGCTTGTGGCAGCGAGGTTCCCACTGACTGGGAAAAGCCCTTGGGAGCCTCCAGGGACACCATGTCCCACAGGGAGATGGCTGTGGGACACAGCAGTTGGGTCACAAGCAATTTAGGACAGGAAAAGGGCCCTGGGGTGTGTGGGCTATGCCGATACCCTCCCCATCTCCGACTTGGTTTCCCCTCCTTTACCTCCAGCAGCAAATTTTTGTAGTGACCAGGGGGTGTGACTGGTTTTACTTGAGTTTATCTTGGCATAGCATGACCAGAGGTTTATAGAGATAGCAGGAACAAGCTGTTATTCTATATAAAATATTCCCGACACTGACGTGACATGAGGAGACACTGGTTTGGGATGATAGCAGCAGCCTGGAGAAGTGACAATGGCGTGGCACGGAGGAGAACAGGCATGAATGGGTTGGAGCTGGGGCTGAGGCATTGCCCCTCCATGGCCATCATAAAGTATAAAATCATCAAATAAGTGATAAAAGTTGGCAGGGAGCAGCGGGCTCTTGTCACCCATGCATCTCTGGCGTGACGATGAGCAGAGTCTAGAGCCCAGTGAACAGCTTCAGCCGTGTGCTGCGATGCTTTACGCTGTCACCTAAGTGCCTGGCTGTGTCCCCAATCCGTGGCAAGCTCCAGGGCCATTTCCACTGACTTCAAATAAGTAAAATCTGTATTAAACATTAATAAACATCCATGACCATTCCACATGTGGAATATCTAAAAGAACCTGTCCCGAGAGCGCTGGGCTCTCCCTTGCAGCTGCGGACTCTACTGGGAGAAGATGCCCTTGAAGCGGATCTTGTCTTCGGCATCCTTCTCCCGCAGCCGCGCTTCCAGGCTCCGCAGCTCCTTGGAGACCACGGGGCGCAGCGAGGGGTCGAGAGCCAGGACTTTGGCAAAGTCAGCCTGCGCCTCGGCCACGTTCCACACGGCTGCGTGGGCCTTGCCCCGCTTAAAGTAGGCCTTGACATTGTCTGTGGGGAGAGAGCCAGGGTCAGTGGAGCATGGGGGTCTCCTGGTGCCTGCCACAGCCACCTGGGATGGCTCATAGCTCCTTACCCTCGTATTTGTTGAGGATGGAGGAGCAGTGGTCCAGCACCTCGTAGTACTCCTCACACTGCAGCTTGCATTGGCAATAGTTTAAGAGCAGGGGTGTGATCTTCTGGTCGAGCTCGATCCAGTCCGGAGAGCCCGGTTGCTCCTGTGGCAGACAGAACAGGGAGAGTGAGGGGCAGCTCTCAAGCCCCGCATTCCTGGGAATGCCTGTGTGCATCTGGGGAGACTCACCTTCATCTGCAGGTTCTTGAGACAGGCGATGGCATCGTAGTATTTGGAAGCTGCCTCGGACACTTTGCCCTGCCGGTACAGCTCGTTGCCTTCCTTGTGGATCTGGGGAACAGCCTGGAGCTTCTCCTCATCTGTCATGGCCCATGGGTCCTGCTGGTAGGAGCCGGGTGGCTCCACCTGCCAGCACCCCATCATGGAATCAGAGAACAGGATCATGGAATTGTTTAGGTTGGAGAAGACGTCTAGGATCATCGAGTCCTGCACTGCCAAGGCCACTACTAAACCACGTCCCACATGCCACATCTGTGTGTTTTCTGGACACTTCCACCCTGAGCGCCCCATGCTGGCACCTCACCTTCAGCACCTCGATGTCGAAGATGAGGGGCTGGGGGTTCTTCTGGAGCTCGTCGAGGTCGGGGTACCCCAGGGAGTAGTGCTCGTGCATCTGGGCAATGCTGCAGCAGTGCCGCTGCCCCTCCAGCGGGTCCTTCCCTGCTGCGATGTTCCGCAGGCTCTTGGACACTAGCGGGTAAAGCAACACGTGCTGCGGGAGGGAAGGGAGGCGAAATTTGAGGAGGGCGGGGGG